TAAAATTATGACAAAATCCTTCAGTTCTATCACACATGGTTTTTAGAGAAATTAAAGCACTGGGAACACATAGTGTGCCATAAAATGGGGATTGTAAAGCAGTTTGGCTTGCGGTGACTTTTTAGAGACCCCTGCCCAATTCAAAACTATAGGCAATTCATAAAATCAGACAGGACCAAGACACACCAAAATTAAGTTCATATTTGAATGGGGGATATCATACCAAACAAATCGATACCATACATGGCTAAGTTATAGTTTACAGAAGGTTAGATAGCAGTTAGATAGCTCCTGGGTGATAGGCCCATCTGATAAACTCTGTGTTTAGTATCCTTGGACACAAAATATAGTGCTAAACAATAATCAGTTTCCAGAATGCAACCTGTACATATTGGAAGATCTTAACATTAGTATAAAACTGTGTGTAAGGGAAGGCCACAATACAGCCATAAACATGGTGACGCCCCATGGCCACTCCTCAACTGCTTAATTGGTCACATGGTCTCTGACAACACCCCTTTCATACCAAAGAAAAAGAGACTGCTCCAAAAGTTGACAGCTTTTGTGTGCCATCAACCAAAGAACACCTGTTAAGTTATGAGAGTCAATAACACCTTGCTCACCCTTGACTGAACTCTGCTAAACCTAAGGACTTTGCAAGTATTTACCTTTTTCACCTTTTTGTCTCGTGGTTGTTTGTTATTTTGTAATATCTTTGCTTTTGTAAATATTTTATTTCCACCATTTTGACCTTTTCATTATTAAACCTTATTTTGAAGAGTGTTGAAATTGTCTCTAAATGCGGTAATGCAAAGTACAAGAATCCCTGTCTCTTGAAGAGTGCTACTGTAACATACCTGGTTGGGGAGCCTGACGTGGAGAGATGGCGTCCTCTTAGCACTCCCGCTCAGGACTCCTGATAGGGTAGACAGAGGGTATTGAGCTAGGAGGGGCACGAGTGCCTGACGGGTCTGTGGTGAAAGCTGGCAGGTGATGACCCTGAAGACCAGGATGCAGGTTGGTTGTGGATGCAGGTGAGCAGGTGCAGCAGCAGGAAGGTATAGCGGAGGTATGGACAACCACGGCAGCTGGCAGCCAGAGATAGACACAGGCAGGAGAGGTAGAAGCGGCAGACAAGCTGGGTCAGGATCAATCGGGCGGATCAGGTACAGAGGATCAGGCAAGCGGATAGTCAACGAATGAGCCGGGTCGGTGCGGGCGGAGTTCAGTTGTAGTCAGGTCAAATCAGGTAGATAACAGGAGTCAGGATACAAGCACAGAACGTAGTATACCAGAAGGCACCATTCTAAGTGCAGCAGGGGTTTAACTAGCCCGCCTGTGCACGGCGGTTCGCACACATGTGCGCTCTCGTGTGCTCGCAACCGCGTGCGCATGTGCACCAGCACGGCTGGCAGGTACCCGGCATTGGCGCATAGATGTGCGCAGATGCGAGACTTTCTTTACCCCGACAGCTACTGTAGTATAAATTCTCTGAGTATACTTGTCTGCGGTAACAGTGTGTGTTACAGACATTTATTCTAAAATCATAGTTATTGCTAAGATTGTGAGTTTCCTCCATCCTGGGAAAAAGGTGGTGGTGGTAGCCTAAAAAGTTAATTGCTTAGTCAACTAAACCCAGTGACAATCGCTCTCAAGCTGCTGGCACCTAGATTGTGGTCCACCGAGCTGGAAAATCTTGGTGCAGGGTGCAGCTAATAGTGGCATTGTGACGAAAGTGACAGAGCAGTGTGAGATTGGCCAGTCCTTTTTTAATAATTGGTGAGAAAGGCAGGGGTCGGGCACCGCGTTCATCCCACCTTGCACTATATAGATGATGGTAGATCTAAAGGTGATTGTACACTCAGTTTGTATAATGTATGACCAACCTAAAGCCAGCCATACACTGACTGAAATTCTGCTGATTCAGCAGGGACTGAAGAAGATGCTGGAAAACATGTCAATCAGCAGCTTCGGCCACTGATCAGTGTATTCTGACAGCGGCACACCTTGTTTGTGTGGTTGGAGGAATCTTTAATTTCTTTTATTTTCAGCCTGTTGGCTGAACAAAAATAAGACTACGTGTATGGACAGCTTACATACACCTTGTTGTAGTCAAATTGCCTGCTACGCCACTAACAGGTGAAACTTCAAGTAGCAAGCTGACCAGATACAGTAAAGCTCTATAACTTTTAATTTATCTGAGATTTTGAACCTAGTAGCTTCATTAGAAAATGCAAACAACAGAGGGTTAAGGGTCAGGATTGATGGACCCTTCCATGATACTAAAGGAGGATAGGAAGCAGTGGATAAAATTTAATCAAGTCTGGAAATGTCCTTTAATGCTATATCTTGCAGTACACGATAACATCTGATCTCTCCGTATAATGATTCATCATTTTTGTGTGCCTTGAAAAACCTTAGTGTCTGCTTATTACAGCTTGTGTCACAGTGATAAAAGCAAAACATTTTTTCTTTTAGATTGTAGAAGCTGTGTATGTTCCTGTACCGGAGGGAATGTATTCCGAAACAGTCTCAAATACCATTAAAAGGTAATAACATTTACTATTAATATTTTCAACTCACATTGATTATCCCCGAGAAAGCAAATATATTAACATTCTACAAATTGTAAAAGTTACCATGAGCTGTCTGGGATTAAAACAAATCCCAAATGTTTTTTTGAATCCTGACACTTGTGTACCAAAGGAATATCAATTATTCCTTCTACAATACAAATCAATACCTACTTTGTTAGTCAATGGGATAATGTCCATGAGCAGTTTATCCACTTGAAGTTCAGAAAGTTTTACCCCCTTCATGACCTGGCCATTTTTTTTTATATTTAGCACTGCGCTACCTTAAGTGGTAATTGCTCAGTCACGCAACACTGTACCCAAATTAAATTTATATAATTTTCTTCACACAAATAGAGCTTTCTTTTGGTGGTACAAAAACCAAAAAAATCACCGTGCTACTCTGAATATCAAAGTGTATATGTCCAAATCATATAAACCGTTCCTATCAAAGTAAAGGGAATAATAATAATAATTAGTTGCCGCTGCTCACTGCAATGTGTTCCCACACCGAAATACTGAACATTCCAAAAAAAGTGTAGCACAGCGCTTTTTTGGTATGCGCTTGTGCAACACTTATTTTGGTATTTTCAGTATTTCTTTTGGTGGTATTTGATCACCACCGGGTTTTCTATTTTTTATTATATAAATGAAAAAAGACTGAAAATTTTGAAAAAACCCCCCCAATATTTTTAACATTTATAACATATCTAAAAAAATCACTGTAAGTGGTTATACACTTGTATTTGCCCATTGCAAAGGTATGTGTTGCCAGTGGCTGTATCAAGTTGTGTTTTTGCAGAAATGTTATGCAATAAGGCCTATACAAGGGCTGTGCTGCGCATCCTTGGTTAAGAGCATTGTTTCCTTTGAAGTCAGTTTCAGTACATCATTGCATGGCAGTGGTGTGCACTGATAATTAGGTTCTATATGCAGGGCCCATGCTTCCACTAGGCAAACTAGGCAGCTGCCTAGGGCTCACTGCCACCTAGGGGTGCCTGGGTGCAGCACAGGCTGTTACTCTATCTGTGTGGGACGCTGCCACATCATGAATGATCCTCCAGCTGAGCAGAGTGATGGCAGAAGGGAGGAAGAAAGGACAGAGGAAGATGTAAGGTGTCTGGGGCCAGTGTAGCAGCTGAGCTGCTGTTCTTCCAGTGTTCCACTCAGACTCAGTCCCTTACTGCAAGCCGGCTAGTGGCTGCTGATCACTGTGGAGTCCCAACCTTTCTCTTTCCATTCATCAACAGAGGCAGAGCTGCGCCTGCGGAGGAAGGTAATGTCTGACTGCAAATGGATACCCTTCCTATAAGCAGCCAACACCAACCTTGACCACAAAGTCACAGATACACAATACAATATAATGGTGTAGCGCTAAATGCATATAAACGCATATATATAAAGGCATGCAACACACCCCTACCCACAAAATAAAAACATAAGCCCCAAATAGGGGATCAAGTGGTAGTGACACAAGTGATTCCTCTTAGAGGAACTTATCACACGTGAAAAAAGTCCAAACGGTGTGTAAATCTTGGTAATAACCTAGTCCTTATATCTTAAATGGATGCAGAAACCCAGACTGATGAATGGATGGTGTATGTTAAGTGCCACACTCTGCAAGGTGATATCCGTGAACAGCCAAAGTGCCTCCTCACCTCCTTTATGAGACCACAAGGGTCACCACACTTTGTGGAATGTCCACATATATCCCAGGATGGTTATATCGGTAGATGAGCCCCTCTCGTGGTTGGATATCCCTGCTACTCCTCCACGTCCTCCTGTCACCTGGCTCCACTCCGTAACCGATCCCACCAGAAGGTCATAAACAACAAAACAGACCTCCCATAGTGTAATACTGCATAATCGCTTTATTGTTAAAGAAATAAAATGCCCACTCACATAGAAGATGATCACAGAAAACTTAAATCCACTGCTATGGGAATGAACATGTGAATCTAGCTCAGAGATGGCGTCCACGTCTGGGATGATGTCACTACGCCTCGTCCTATCAATACATGCCGACGCGTTGCGTCACGGTAAACACGTGACTTCATCAGGGTCCTTGATGAACACTTTGGCTGTTCACGGATATCACCTTGCAGAGTGTGGCACTTAACATACACCATCCATTCATCAGTCTGGGTTTCTGCATCCATTTAAGATATAAGGACTAGGTTATTACCAAGATTTACACACTTTTTTCACGTGTGATAAGTTCCTCTAAGAGGAATCACTTGTGTCACTACAACTTGATCCCCTATTTGGGGCTTATGTTTTTATTTTGTGAGTAGGGGTGTGTTGCATGCTTTTATATATATGTGTTTATATGCATTTAGCGCTACACCATTATATTGTATAATGTCTGACTCTGATGTCTCTTGTCTGTGTGAGTATGACCCGGCTGACTGGCCGGCCTTCCATCACATGTGCAATGTGTCAGTGAGTGATGACATCATAACAATCCCACAGTCTGCTCTTCTAGTGCCTGCTGATCTATGTCAGTGTTGGTGGTGGTGTGTTGTGTTGGATATTTCACTGTGTGGGATCGTTCAGTGCAGGTGCTGTGTGTGTGTGTGCGCTCTAGGCTGCCTGCTGTCACAGCGTTTTTATCTCCCCCCATTGCCTGGGGAACTCCAGCCTGGGATCTGCCAGTGTTGATCCATCATCCTCCACTCACTGCAACTGTGACCCTGCCACTGCCAGCCACAGATACAGTCCGTCTGTGACACTGATGTTGTCTTTAATATTGGTGCTTGTGGCATTTTAAGGCACTTATTTTTGCAGTGTAAAAGAAATTTAGCAGTTTCATGTTTTGTTTATTTAATATTTTCTACTGTTTTTAAAGATTTTATTTTATTTCTTTTTTTGGGGGAGCACAAGTAACTGGTCTTGCCTAGGGCGCAAACTAGTCAAGCACTGTCCCTAACTACATGTAGTACCTTTTGTTAGCACAGAGGGTTGCAAACTACTGCATCACAACACCATGGGTATAAAACTCACTTTGATATTTCATAAAGTTTGGACAAAGAAAGGTAGACAGGGTGGGGTGCCAGTATCAGCACAGATGTTCTGTTTCTGCCAGTGCACACCAGCAGCCGTGCGGCCATGTGTTCAGCTCATGTGCCTGATGTTCTAACTCATGGTAGTACATATTTATCTGTGTAAATGCAGGTTGAAGCATATTGTAATGAGCTGACCATCTACTTACCTCTTGTGTGAAGCTGTCAATCCTCCTTGATTCCCATTAGCTCTCACACTGGTATATTTTTTCACTGGGTGGTCATGTTGTTCCTATTATGCATTCAGAAGTGGTAATGGCTGAAATCCCACATTATATGCAGACACCGTGTCAGTATGTCCAGTTTAAAAGCTGCTCAGTGCATCATAGCTTGATGAAAGGTTCCTGGTGAGTCTAGATGGATTTGGAATTCTGTCTGTCATTCTGACTCTGCTTCATTGTATGTTAGTTACCCTGACCCTCTGTCTGGATCCTTGACTATAACTGTCTGCAACTTGCTGTGATCTCCAGTTAGACCATGATGTAGTAAAGGCAAATAGGCTGCTTATTTTACTAGGGAGGTTGCACTTTGCAAAGGAATTATTCCCAGAGCTTAGTGAATTTAGTGAAAAGTCATCTTGCAAAGAATACCCAGTCATTTTTCCTTGAACATGTTTGAATTTTGGAGGTCAGTAGTGCTTCACCTTATTCACTAAGCTCTGGGAAAAATTCCCTTGTGAACAGTCTATTTGCCTTTAGTAAATTAACTCCTATGTCTCCACTTCATGATTTGGTACTTTGCCTCTTCTGTTTCTATTGGGATGAACCCAAGGGACCACAAGCCAATTCGAAAATGTTTGTGGGGTTCAATGTGAGCCCACATCTACCTTTGGAGACATGGAGGATTTGCTACCACTCATGACATGTTAACACATTTTACAGTCAGGTCCATAAATATTGGGACATCGACACAATTCTAACATTTTTGGCTCTATACACCACCACAATGGATTTGAAATGAAACGAACAAGATGTGCTTTAACTGCAGACTGTCAGCTTTAATTTGAGCTGTTTACATCCAAATCAGGTGAACAGTGTTGGAATTACAACACTTTGCATATGTGCCTCCCACTTCTTAAGGGACCAAAAGTAATGGGACAGAATAATAATCATAAATCAAACTTTCACTTTTTAATACTTGGTTGCAAATCCTTTGCAGTCAATTACAGCCTGAAGTCTGGAACGCATAGACATCACCAGACGCTGGGTTTCATCCCTGGTGATGCTCTGCCAGGCCTCTACTGCAACTGTCTTCAGTTCCTGCTTGTTCTTGGGGCATTTTCCCTTCAGTTTTGTCTTAGCAGCAAGTGAAATGCATGCTCAATCGGATTCAGGTCAGGTGATTGACTTGGCCATTGCATAACATTCCACTTCTTTCCCTTAAAAAACTCTTTGGTTGCTTTTGCAGTCTGCTTTGGGTCATTGTCCATCTGCACTGTGAAGCGGTGTCCAATGAGTTCTAAAGCATTTGGCTGAATATGAGCAGATAATATTGCCCGGAACACTTCAGAATTCATCCTGCTGCTTTTGTCAGCAGTCACATCATCAATAAATACAAGAGAACCAGTTCCATTGGCAGCCATACATGCCCACGCCATGACACTACCACCACCATGCTTCACTGATGAGGTGGTATGCTTAGGATCATGAGCAGTTCCTTTCCTTCTCCATACTCTTCTCTTCCCATCACTCTGGTACAAGTTGATCTTGGTCTCATCTGTCCATAGGATGTTGTTCCAGAACTGTGAAGGCTTTTTAGATGTCGTTTGGGCAAACTCTAATCTGGCCTTCCTGTTTTTGAGGCTCACCAATGGTTTCCATCTTGTGTTGAACCCTCTGTATTCACTCTGGTGAAGTCTTCTCTTGATTGTTGACTTTGACACACATACACCTACCTCCTGGAGAGTGTTCCTGATCTGGCCAACTGTTGTGAAGGGTGTTTTCTTCACCAGGGAAAGAATTCTTCGGTCATCCACCACAGTTGTTTTCCGTGGTCTTCCGGGTCTTTTGGTGTTGCTGAGCTCACCGGTGCGTTCCTTCTTTTTAAGAATGTTCCAAACAGTTGTTTTGGCCACGCCTAATGTTTTTGCTATCTCTCTGATGGGTTTGTTTTGTTTTTTCAGCCTAATGATGGCTTGCTTCACTGATGGTGACAGCACTTTGGATCTCATCTTGAGAGTTGACAGCAACAGATTCCAAATGCAAATAGCACACTTGAAATTAACTCTGGACCTTTTTATCTGCTCATTGTAATTGGGATAATGAGGGAATAACACACTCCTGGCCATGGAACAGCTGAGAAGCCAATTGTCCCATTACTTTTGGTCCCTTAAAAAGTGGGAGGCACATATGCAAACTGTTGTAATTCCTACACCGTTCACCTGATTTGGATGTAAATGCCCTCAAATTAAAGCTGACAGCCTGCAGTTAAATTACATCTTGTTCGTTTTCATTTCAAATCCATTGTGGTGGTGTATAGAGCCAAAAATGTTAGAATTGTGTCGATGTCCCAATATTTATGGACCTGACTGTATATACAGCATATATATTTTGGGTTCCTACTTGGTGCATTTATATGTGTAATTTGGTGAATTGTACCACCATACCTATGCAAAGAAAGCATATAATATTATTGATAACCAAAAAGAAAAAAAAATTATTGATAGGTGCTTTCTAACACAATAAATTATACAGCATACTATATGAACAGCTTTTAATGTCCAATCTGAGAAAAAAATCAAAAAGAATGTTTAAGAACCAAAGATATCTGAAATGAAGGGTACTTTTTCCTGTATTAGCTGTCTTCTTGTTCAGCCAAACTCTGGAGCTGTTGTCCACAGCAACCAGTCAGCTTCTATCTTTTATTTTTTAAATCTTAACTGAGCATAGAAAGCTGATTGGTTGCCATGCACATCTGCTCCAGTTTTGAGAAATCCCACCCAATGTATTTGACTATTACTATTTCCCATCAATGTATGCAGCGCTTTACATATATATATTGTACATTCACATCAGTCCCTGCCGCCCTTGAGGAGCTTACAGTCTAAGGTATCTAACTTACATTCATACATACACATACTAGGGCCAATTTAGACAAGAGCCAATTAACTTACCAGCATGTCTTTGGAGTCTGGGAGGAAAGCCAAGCAGGCACAGGGAGAACATGCAAACTGCAGGCTGTGACTAGGATATGAACCGACGACTCTAGTTCTAGGTGGAGTTGCTAACCACTCAAGCACTATGCTGCCCCATGCTGCTGACTATGCTACACAACTCTTGATTATCAGTAAAGTTGGCCATAAATGGACCGATATTCAGCTGTTTCAGCAGGGACTGGTAGAATTTTGATCCATCTATGGGCATTCCCATTCAAGAGCAGTCAATCTAATGACAAACTGCTCTTGAACAGACTTGTGGGAAAATGTTACTTCAATCAGTACTGCAGCCAATTAGCTGCCCCAGTTTGTTTTGGGCACTATACCCTTTCTTTTTGCACTGTGCTTTCAAGGATGGCCACCCACACACCAATTCTTATCCCTGCTGGGTTGCTTTATAGTTACGAGGGAGAAATGGTGGGTGTGGTTCAGGGCGGACTGACAACTCATGAGGCCCCCGGGCAATAAGGGATCATGGGGCCCCTGTGTCCTTGCCCACACTCAAAAAAGCCTATGAAAAAGGTACCAGGGGCATCTCACGGGGCCCCCTACTGACCCCGAGCCCTCGGCAGTGCCTGAGTTTCCAAATGGTCAGTCCGCCCCTGGTGTGGTAACAAGTAGTGCCGTCATCCCTTACAGAACAATATAATAGAAACACCCTCTATATGATGGGATTTTTATGGCACGAACAAAGCAAAAAAATATAAGGAATACAAGTATACCCTGCAAAGGTTTCATCTCCTCTGCAGTGTTCAGTGTCATTTTTGTTTGCAATGTTGTGGGTAACATGACTAACCCAGCATATAGGTAGGGATGCCACCTTCCCCACAAAAAGAGTACCAAAAAAGTGGGTGTAGCTTGATTTTAAGGAGCATAGCCTTAAACTGGCCATGCATTATACAATTTTCTTGTTCAATTTCCTTTAGCTTTACCTTCAACTATGTAGTCCAAGGGCTTGCCTGATTGCATACACATTGAAAGTGTTTAGGTTTGACCTCATATTATATGGTTTTGGTAAATCTGAATTAAAATTGTACGAGAAATTTGTATAAAGTTTGGCCAGCCTTTCTGGGGTTTTTCTCACCTCATAGAAATACCATATCTGTACATTGTCCTTGACTCAGCATATGTCTCAATTCAAGCATTTGGGTACATAGTTTTTTCAGCTCTGAACAGATATTTGTTGAAATGACAGGAGGGTTGAGGAGGGAGGGTAACTCTCCAGGCACAGCACAGACAGAATCTACAAATGCCTTTATTCAGTAGAGCAGGGGAGGTTAGAACTCCTGGCATATTTTTATTTCTGTCTGTCCCCTGATGCAGATTTTCAATGATAAAGTATTATCAGCAGAACAGAAAGTGAGAATAATTCTCTCTAATAAATGGAATTTTGCTTGTTGAGCATCTTTGAGCTACAAAATGCTCAGGTGTAAATGAGGCTTAACAGAATATATGCTGATGCTCTCTTCATTCTTCTTAGTTCCTTTTCCTGCCTGTCTGGTGCAGCAAAACCAATACTAAGTAATGCAGCTGGAAAGAGACAACAGAGGAAAGCTGAG